CTTACAACTGGTGCTTAAAGGGACAGTTCAGGTTTGTTGACGTGGCGTTGTGTGAGGTCATCACATACAGTCGGTACATTACCTGCAGTAGATCATGATGAGCGTGGTGTCAGTTAGGAAAGCCGATCGAGGCACCGACAGAGTGTCAGAGCGATGTGTTGCTGTGGGCGGGGCCACAAGAAAACACCCACTCAAACAATCCAATATGTGTTTAAATGAAGCTTCATGTGGAATGTTTTCAGTGGTTTATCTTCCTGTGAAAACAGCACTGTATTACGCCGCTTTCTGAGTCACTCAGCCGACCTGCGGTGTAAAACAGCGCGCGCCATAGGTGCTTGAATCAGGAATCAAGGATCAACCTGCGAGGCTGAAACATGAAGCATCAACATGAAGAACCAGAAGCTGCAGTTCCTCTAATGACCACTAGAGTCTGGCTCCAACAGTGAGTCAGTCCCCATAGACTCCCATGTTAAAATGTCCAACTTTACAGCAGAAATAAACATGTTTACAGCCTGGTACAAAAACAGTTTCAGTCTCTAGAGATAATTTCCTCCGTCATGACACCTGTTTATATAACTCACCTGTTTACAGTTTATTAAGGACTAAAGTTATGGAGAACTGAGGGGTGTGGCCTCTTTGAGTGACAGGTGAGTGAGGGTATACTTGCCACAAAGCATCAGGCACCGAAGTCTCAGCTCCACACACGCCCCTCCTCTTCCACCATCTTTGCATTAGCCGGGCGTTGGACAGAGTCAGGTACTGCCAAGATGGCAACAGTGGAGCAGCTCACTCTGAGCTTCAGAAACCTGTGGATGACATCACGGAGGCTGCGTCCATCTTTATTTACAGTCTATGGTAGTTTATTGAAAAACAAAGGAAAGTAATGTTTTCACAGGAGGATAAACTGCTGAAAATATTCCACATGAAGCTTCATTTAAACACACGCTGGATTGTTCCTGTGGCCGTTTTTAAAAGTGTCTAAAACACGTTTTTTCTCGTGGCCCCGCCCACGTCGGATCTCCCAACTGACACCGCGCTCATCATGATCTACTGCCGGTAATGTACCGACTGTATGTGACGACCTCACACAACGCCACGTCAACAAACCTGAACTGTCCCTTTAAATAGAAAATCACTCCCAACATGTTCACCCTCACCTCACTGACTCCTCCATCCTTGATAACACCCAGTGCGACCGCGTCAGCTCCTCCTCTGCTCATCACAGCGAAACACCGCGAAACAAACCTCCTCATATGAAGCGTGCGAGAGGACACGGCGTGATGGACGCTCAGCGGAGTCTTAACGAGCATGTCGGTTAACATCGAGCTTCAAGTTCACACCTACCTCATTACCACTTCGCCATGGTTACGTGACGACACTGTGACCAGCAAACACACGAGTGCAGTCGAGACAAAATCAACTCACCGTTCACGCGGCGTGTCGGCGACCTGAGAGGGACAGATGTGACGCACAGCTGGATCTATGGACGGTAGCTCTCATGCCAAGTTTCGTTTGAATATCAGCTGCTAATAATTTATTTTTATCAGGAGACAGAACTAATCTACATGTTCCATCAGGATATGTGAGTCATGTCACAGTACGACACATGTACAGGCCTGATATAGATTTATAGGCGATATCACAGTGTGTGTTTGTAATGACCAGATGTGTATAGGTATATTTACATTTCCCTGTGAAGCCATTGAGAAATTACCAGTAGATAATATTTCTGTTTTGTGTAAATTAGTAAACAGATTAAAACGCCTCTCTACAACGGCGGGAACGTCCAGTTTAATGAAGCAGTGAGAAGCTTCAGCGGCAGGAGAGAGGCCACAGTGTTAACGTCACTTCACCTGTACCTGTCAGAGGGACACGGAGCACGTCCTGCAGACAGACGGACGCTGACCGACTGGATCTGCGTCGATTTGGAGCGTGTTGGTTTGAGTTCAGTAGAGATGTGATAGTCTGTGTGATGCAGTCCTGGAGGCGTGCTGTGAAACCCATGAAGAAGAAAGTACGGCGGCCCAGAGAGCTCAACGCACTGCAACTTAAGAAAACAGACAAACACAGAAAAACATCTTCACCAGTCTGACGACACACGAGCTGCAAAGACTCACAACGCAACAGGAAGTGTTTCCAGGGGACACTAAAGAGTGACGAACCCGGCTGGGACGCACTTGTTGTTCAGTACTTGTGACTTGTGAAGTTAAAAGCGTTTAACAACAAGTGTGAATGGATGTCTTAAAAGTGCGTCCTAGTCGGGTTCGTCACTCTTTAGTGTCCCCTGGAAACACTTCCTGTTGTGAGTCTCTGCAGCTCGTGTGTCAAACTGATGTTTTTCTGTGTTTGTCTTGTTTGCATGTGTTTTCTTAAAGGGACAGTTTGAGTTGTTTGACGTGGCGCGGTGTCAGTTATGAAAGCCGCCCGGGGCACCAACAGCGTGTCAGAGTGATGTGTTGCTGTGGGCGGGGCCACGAGAAGAAACGTGTTTTAGACACTTTTAAAAAACCCTCCACACAGACACTGTAGTAGACCGCAGCCGCAGGTCAGCTGGCGAAACCTCACACAACCCCACGTCAAAAAACCCGAACGATCCCTTTAGGTTGCAGTGTGTTGAACCCTCAGGGCCACCGTAGGAATGTGTCAGCCTCTGACACCAGCCGCAGTAACACAGTCCTGTACAACGCCACTGATGAATATACAACCAATCATCAGAGCCGTGAGGTGTCCACAGAGAAATGTCTCGTCCTCTGAAAACCACGTCGAACCGGCTGAGACCATCGACACCGTTCACTCCTGCTTTCAGATCCATTCGTTCAGAGTTAAACTGGTCACAGGTCACATGACGTTCACTGCCGTCAGATGAAGTGTCTGTAGGCGGGGCCTCCGCAGCCCTCGTTAACCACCAATCAAAGCAGAGACATCCAGAGCCTCTTCCTGTGTGACCCAGTGTCTGTCTTTCTACTGAGCCAACGGTCCAATCCCAGTGTCCCGTCTGAACCCTGAAGCGTCACAGACGTCACTGACGCCGCCTGGCGAGTGACTGAGCGCCAGAGGCTCAGATGGTATATAAAGGGACAGAGACTTATGTCACGTTACCTTGACAACGCCGAAACGTTTGCATTCAATTGTGGGTTTGGGACTTTCGATCGTTACGTTTTTATTCCCTCCCTTCGCTTCCTGTTTGCGAACAAACAAAATAATCAGATCTGATCCAGTTTGAATATCTGGAATTCATCATCACGTCATCATATAAAAAATAACGTATAAAATGTTTATACTTTCATATACTGTCTGTTTTCTTCTAATGCTAACGTTAGCGTTAGCTCCTTTCATGCTTGTTTGTTCATCGCTCTTATTCTCTCTCATTATTTTTACGGCCGTTTGTTTGCCGTTTTTTACGCTTCCAGGCGTCCCCCTGATAACCATGGCAACCCTGTATTTATTCTCATATTGCTATGAACTTTGGGTAATTCCCTCGGGCACAGTCTGCAGAAAGGCGGTGGGGGGGGGTGGGGGGGGGGGGGGTGGGGGGGTGGGGGCACTGGGATTGGACCAATATCTTCTGAACAATAAAACACTGTTCCATGAGAGAACCACAGACCGGTTCTAAAGAGAACGTCTAGTTTGGAGCTCCGGTGGAAAATGTCACTGTACATAGACACACGTAGCACAGCAATCATCTCATCCACTGTCACAATGACGAGGGTAGAAAGCAATCTGCTCATTTACACTGATTCTAGCAGTTAAATGATTTGTTTATTTATCGATTTATTTTTGTATTTCTTTACTTACTGCTCGTTATGTCCGAGACTTGGCGGAGACGTGAGGAGGAGGTCAGTGGACGCTCACAGACAGACGGGAGGTGAAGTTGCTTCAGGAACTTTTCGTTTCCCGCAGTGTGTGTGTGTGTGTGTGTGTGTGTGTGTGTGTTTTCTATGATGCAGACGTATGCACTTTAAGAGGCCACGGTCGAGTGAACTGATATTTAAAACAAAGAAAATCAACATAATGACGATGATGATGATGAAACATTTATGTGTGACGTTGTTTGTGTTGCTGTCTAAACGTGACGTTGTGTGTTGGAAAGAAATAAAACTCCACAGTGAATCCATCCTGCGCTCCGTCTCTCTTCTCTACCTCTGCTTATTTATTTATCTTGAGTATTCTTCTTCTTCTACACTTAAAGACAAAGATTCTACTTTTCACTCCACTCAAGTGCTCTTACTTTGAAGCAGAGCTTTTAGTCAACGGAATGAATTTCCTTTTATTTTGAAAATGCGATAGACCACACACTGTGTTCATCACAGGAGCCAATCACAGCTTCTTTAGACTTGACACAAACATTCACTTGGACTCAAGGATGAACTGATTCGATTTCGGGGGTCAAAGGTCAAGGCCGTGGTGATGTCACAAAACATGGTTTGGCCTTGTTAATGTAATATCTCCATAACACCTTGAAGGAATTTTGATTTTGATTTGGTAAAAGCGTTCATCTAGACTGAACGACAAACTGATTGGAATTCTGTGGATAAAGGTCAAAGTTCAAAGGTCAATGTCACAGTGACCTCACAAAATGCAGTTTTGGGCTTGTGAACACGACATCTCCGTAACGCCTTGAAGGAACTTCCTCACATTTTGCACAAATGTCCATTTGGCCTTGAGGACGAACTGATTAGACTTTGGTTTTCAAAGGTGAAAGGTCAAGGTCACGGTGTCCTCAGAAAACATTTTAAGCACACAGAAATTATGACAAAATTTCACTCAAATGGATCATATTTTATATGACCCTGAAAAACGGATGTAATCTGGAACTAGTCTGAGCGGCGGAGGGATACGACCACGAGGAGGTGATTCTGCAGGTCTGCATAGCATCATCCTTCCTGTGTGTGTCGGCCCTTTTCCAAATCCACACAGCAAGGGGGGGGGGGGGGGGGGGGGTTTCACTTGTGATGTGATTATAACTGAAGTAAGAAAACAACAGAACCGAATCACTTGTCATGTTTTATTGCTTCTCCGTCCTTTTGATCAACAAAAGTCGGTTCAGTGGCATGAAATGAAATGAGAGGAACGACAGTGTAAGTAGAGTGTGGACGTGTAGAGGAGGGAGATGAGAGGATGTAGTGGTGGTTCGACAACAGCTTCTGTTACTGGACTTAGTGGTTATTTGTCACAAATAAAAACTACAACAAAGTCTAAACAGAAAATAGACACGGAAAATAATGGAGTCAGAAAACTGAAGGGAAGCCAGCTCCCTGTGACACATACACACATACACACACACACACACACACTAAATAGGTGTAGATGACTGAGTGGTGTGGAGGGTTTTTCTTCGCTGGCAGCATCTGCAGCAGAGGACTGTCACTATGATGATGATGATGAGGACTGTGAGCAGGATGAAGACTATACCGACCCACGCTCCGAGACTCAGCTCTGCAGAGGCAAAGAGACAAAGAGACAAAGAGACAAAGAGACAAAGAGACACCACAGTGAGACACAGGGATCTGAACAGAGCACCTGACCTGTCACGACCTGTTTGTATTTTCTGTTCCACCTGTTGTGTCACGGGTCAGAACTGACATCATATATGTTCCTGTTATAAAAGTGCACCTGTTTATATTTGTGGTGTCATGGAGCTGTTCCTGCGTCACAAGCTGCACAGACGGACAGAGACACGTCACTCTCCAGTTATATTCAAGTCAAAACGCTTTCCTTACATGGAACCTCAGTCTGGATTCAGTACAAAATATTATGATATACCAGTATTTATATGATTTTGTTTCTAATATTTTTGTTTCATTATTCATGTCGGTTTGAAAACAATGTATTTCTCAGCATTTAAAAAAAAATGATCCAAGTTTTCATTGTTGAGGATGTGATGAAAATGAAAAATGAAAAGTGTTTCACATCTAAACTTGAAAACAAAATTGACTGTACACAACATTTGATATGTTTTTACTCAACATACATATATTAACATGTTAAAGGATCATTTACCTTTTTTTTGTTTAATAACTGAGTGAATTGTTTTTAATTGTGACATGAGTTTTCCAGGTGCAGCACAGAGGACAGTGAGGAGGTGTGTTAGGTGTCGGTGTTGTCCAGCAGAGGGCGGCACACACCCGACAAATCTACACACACAGCACTGACATGAGTTTTCATGAGGAGACGCACCACCCACACACCACAGAGCTGATGGCGGCCATGACAGTCAGCTTTTCACATTAAAAGTTTCCTCTCACTGACTGTCTGCAGTCTGCTGCCCCTCACTTTGTTTTCTGTGCCGTGATTTGATTTGAATGTGTCACGTTAAGTTAAATGTCATAAATACAAATCAAAATAAATTAGTTATAAATAAGTTATAAAAGACAAAAAGCAGAATAAATAACTGCCCCTTTAACATGTGTTTCCCTTTGAATCTGACACCCTCCTGTAGAGACACTGGCCATGAAGAAGAAAAATGGATGGCTGTTGTTTTTCTTTTCTTTTCTTTGTTTTCCATGAATGAGTTTATTTAGTTGAAGCCTCTGACATGAAACAAACACTTTGTCTCCCATAATCCTTTGTTGTTTTTTCTCTTTTCTGATCTCTAACTTCTCCGTCTCAGTCAAATATACAAGCTTTTATTTAACTTTAATGCAACCTGCACATAAAGCACGTGGGTGAAACTGCTTCTGGTTTCCCACAGTTTTTCTAAATATAAAAGTATCAGCTCAGCAGATGTTTAATGAGGCGGGAAATACTTGTTTCTCAGTCTTTGAGGATCCACACAGTGTGCCCGGGTGAACGTGAAAGAAACTGTGTTTACAAAAACCTCCTGCAGGCTCGGAGACTTCTGCAGCTGACGGACTCTGTGCTGCTTTTTCTAAGAACAGACTAAAGAACCTCTAATCCGTGAAAACCACAAGCAGGACTCATGACCTCATTATTTCTGGATTCCTGACGGTCTGAGCCTCACGAGGGCTGAGGCTTCCTCACTGTGTAGACGTGCTGTAGGACGTACCTGCGCCGTTACTGTTCAGTCCCTCCAGAAATAATTAACGCAAACTTGAACAATCCCCGTGAATTCTGTGCGTAATTACATTTTGATTTGACTAATTTGACCAATCATCAGAGTTTCTCTCGAGTTGAACCAATCACAGCAGTCCCTGATCTACACCTTGATGATGTCACCAAACTCACGTCCTTGTTTGTGGTGCTGAAGCATGTTGTGAAGCTGCAGACGTGTGTGACATCACTGTTAAAGACCGAGCGAAGACGCTCAAACATGTTTAAGAATCTCTTCTTCTTTTTCCCTATAAGATTTAGTTGCCTTCATTTTTTAATGAATTATTATTATTAATGAAGATAGAGACAATTTTTGCAATTTTTTTCTACCGCAGTTTCATTGCAAAAAAAAAGAAGAAAACATCTAAAAACATCTCAATTTTTAATAAAAGTTGCAGCAAAAATTAGATAAAGCTGCAACAATCCCCCAAAAAAGTCACCAAATTCTGGAGGGGTTACTCTCTCTGTAGTGTAGCATAGCTTAGCGTAGCGTAGTCTAGCATAGCATAGTCTAGTGTAGCATAGTGTAGAATAGTCTAGTGTAGCATAACGTAGTGTAGCGTAACGTAGCGTAGCGTAGCCTAGTCTACTGTAGCGTAGCGTAGTGTTTTTACCTTTCAGGATGGGGAGGTCCACCTCTGTACACAGCTGTTTGCTCCAGGCTCCCTGCTGCGTGGCTTTGGGTCTGGAGGGGATGTAAGCTGCCACCATGAAGCAGTAACTCTCTCCTGCGTCCAGCTGCTTCAGCTCAGCCACACTGGAGTCAGAGATGAATTCTCTCTGTCAGGGAAGAACACGACATGTTACCTATACCTGTTAGTACTTGCCTGTACTTGTTTCCACCTGTGTGTACCTGTGTGTACTTGCCTTGCGTGTATTTCCAGACTTGTAGTAGGTGATCTTGTACTTGAGGTCGCTCTTGAGAACGTCTCTGATGCTGAGCTGCTTCCTTTTCTCATGGTAACTGGTCAGAGGGTCCGTGATGTTCACCATCACTCTGCCGCCGTCTGCAGCCTCCACGGTGTAGGTGGGGGCGCTGATGTTACCTGAGGAGAGAGCAGGTCAGAACACCTGTCAGTCACATGTTACACTATCACAGCTGATCACATCAGTAACCTGCTGTGTGTGTGTGTGTGTGTGTGTGTGTGTGTGTGTGTGTGTGTGTGTGTGTGATACCTACTCTCTCTGTAGGGGTTGAAGTGAGGGGAGTAAGTGTGAGGTGAGTTCTCTATGTCGTCACCTTGATCTGTCAGGACATTAGCGGAGTAGGTCCTGTCCAACAGGAAGACATGAACATAGTTCACACACACACACACACACACACACACACACACACACACACACACACACACACACACGATCTAGAATCACCAGGAGATTCTTAAATGTGATTAAATATGACTGAAAGTCAGTTTAAGGACACAAAGACGAGATAAGATGAAGGAAGGACAAAAAAGAAGAGGAACTCTGATTCTGAAGTCTGATAAAGAAGGTATTTCCTGTCTGAAGCAGAGCCTCAGGTGTGGCGCTCCTACCTGTCGTAGGGTACGAGGTAGTTGCTCAGGTCACACTCTGTCTCTGACACTTGGCTGCAGATGTCACAGTCCTCCCAGTTACCGTCATCCACCCTGAAAGTCACATGACAAAACACACGGAACAGGTGAATAAAGCCTCAAATAAAAACTACAATCACCTACCTGTGGTCGTATCCCTCCGCCACTCAGACTAGTTCGTCTAATATCAAAATCAAAATATGGGTCACAGTGAACTTGACCTTTGACCTTTGACCCCCAAAATCTACTCTAAGTGAAGTTCCTCTGGCGAAACTTTAATGATCCATGTTGTCTCTCCTGTAATTCTGTACTGTACTGTACCACTGTGTGTGTGTGTGTGTGTGTGTGTGTGTGTGTGTGTGTGTGTATGTGTGTGTGTGTGTGTGTGCACTCACCCGGAGTACTGGACAGTGTATATCAACTGGGAGGCTCTGGTGGTCCAGGTGAGGACGGTTTTAAAGTCCAGAGACACCCAGCGGACGTTCTCTGCTCTGTGGCCGAGCTCGTCGCCTGTGAATGAATGAAACACAACGTTAGACTCAACTCGTTCTTCTTCTTCTTCTTCTTCTTCTTCTTCTTTTTGGGTTTTTCTATCTTTGGACGGTTGGAGAGAAAAATGAAAAATAGAAAAGAGAGCACTTTTATTACTTTTATTTCTATTTATGTCGTGGGTTGTGTGATATCTGATTGGCCAGTGGAGCAGTCACACCGGCCCCCAGTCCAGATTATAAACATCAGCCTCTAACACCAACTGTCCTTCATCACAGTGATTAAGACATGAACAACTGGCGTCATATGTTTCAACTTCTCCAGTAGCTGATGCAGGATCTTTGTGCTTTGTACGTACAACCTGTAACACGTGACAGTCTGTACGTACAACCTGTAACACATGACAGTCTGTACGTACAACCTGTAACACATGACAATCTGTACGTACAACCTGTAACACGTTACAATCTGTACATACAACCTGTAACACGTGACAGTCTGTACGTACAACCTGTAACACGTGACAGTCTGTACATACAACCTGTAACACGTGACAATCTGTACATACAACCTGTAACACGTGACAGTCTGTACGTACAACACAACACAACCCAGCAGCTTCCCTCTCTCACACTTCACAGTCAGACACACGTGTTGAGCCAAAATACTTTTAAAGCTGGAGCCTAGTGGTGCCCAGTGGTCACCATGGTAACATCTGAACAATGGAGGTGAAAGGGTAATCCACAGAATACAATGTGAGAAAGGTTTCTGCTCACAGGCAGATACTTCAAGACCTGGATCAATGACAGCAACTTATCTCAGACCAGGACCAGAACTGATCCAGTTAGAGTCCAGACCGGATCCTCTGACCCGAGTACAGCAGCCTGATGTCCAGAAAACTGCCTGAACCATGTCATGTATGTGTAGTTGTATTATTGTTACTGAACAAACACCTAAACTAAAGTAATCTAAACTAAACTAAAGTAATCTAAACTAAAGTAATCTAAACTAAACTAAACTAAGCTAAACTAAAGACATCTAAACTAAACTAAACTAAACTAAACTAAACGAAACTAAACTAAACTAAACTAAGCTAAACTAAAGTACTGAACAAACACCTAAACTAAAGTAATCTAAACTAAACTAAAGTAATCTAAACTAAAGTAATCTAAACTAATCTAAACTAAACTAAACTAAGCTAAACTAAAGACATCTAAACTAAACTAAACTAAACTAAACTAAACTAAACTAAACTAAACTAAACTAAACTAAACTAAACTAAACTAAGCTAAACTAAAGTAATCTAAATTAAACTAAATTAAACTAAACTAAAGTAATCTAAACTAAACTAAACTAAACGAAACTAAACTAAACTAAACTAAACTAAACTAAAGTAAACTAAACTAAAGTAATCTAAACTAAACTAAACTAAACTAAAGTAAGCTAAACTAAGATAAACTAAGCTAAGCTAAGCTAAGCTAAGATAAGCTAAACTAAACTACACTAAAGTAAAGTAAAGTAAAGTAAAGTAAAGTAAACTAAATTAAACTAAAGTAAAGTAAACTAAATTAAACTAACTAAAAACTAAACTAAGCTTAACTAAAATAAGAAAAGCTAAACTAAGCTAAACTAAGCTAAGCTAAACTAAACTAAACTAAACTAAGCAAAGTTTAACTAAACTAAGCTAAACTGAAATAATGCTGCGTGTTCCCTCTGTAACAGTAGTAGCTTTTTCTGTGACTCTTCAGGTTTTAATCGGCTTAAACTTGTTTCTATTTTCCTCTTGTTTCATTTCCACAACATCTGTTATGCACATGTTTGTCTTTATGTTTGAATGTGTGGAAATATACTGTGTGTCTGTTTCTTAAAGTGCTACATACATGAAATGAACCTGGATCATAAATTCTAGTTATGCTGAAACAGGGTAATAGGAACCAGAGGTAGATGTTAGACAAACTTTAAATCTCACTCACACATGAGGATTATTGAAGTTAATATGTGTCTTACCTGCAGCAGTGATGACCCCAGCTGACAGACAGACTCCCAGGTAAAGGAAAAGAGTCTTCACAGATTCCATGTTGGTAAAAACAAGGATTCCTCAGTCGCTCCTCCGTGTTGTTCGGACTCTGTGGCTCCAGGAGAAGTATTTTATAGCTGAAGTGTCTCTGGACTGAAGCAGCTCAGACTGAGAGTCGTTTCTGTTCAGCAGGACGGGGTGTGGGGGCTGCAGTGGAGGGGGTGGTGGTTGGGGCACTGTTCAGGGTTCTGGTCCCGCCTGCTGATCCCTCCCACATGCTGCCTGCTGCCGGGGGATTCTGCAGGGTCGGTTCAGTGTGAGCTCCTCCTGATGAAGAGTGTGAACGTCCACAGACTGACACACCACACCCCTGTAAAACCTGGACCGTGTCTCTCTGTGACTGTTTGACGTGCGAGCCACAGAAACATGAGTAATGTGTTCACAGTGGTCACACCCTCCCTGAACACTACTGCATGGTTGATTCTTCCTCAGAGGGACGGAGACTCTCTGCACCACGCTGCTCAAGTATTTCAATGTGTCTCAGTGGGACACAAACAACTTGATGTCCTGCTGCCTTCACAGCTAACAGGCTAATTTTGTCCCAGTTGCTCCAGTACAAGTTCTGTACTGGAAGTTATCTCTCTAGTCAATACGCTTTCTTGGCATGAAATATAATTTTAAAACAACACAATATTATTATTATACTGTTATTATAGGACTTTCTGGTTGAAGCAGACCCCCGCTTCACCCAGAGTCTTCTTCTGTTGGAGGTTTATTCTCTCCACTGTCACCAGCTGCTGATGATGATGGACCTGTTGGTTTCTCTCTATATCATCACTATATATACCATGTTGGGTCCTTCCTTCCTGGTCCAACCTATCCCAAGATTTATTAGGATTCAACCAGCTGGATCCTTCGTTGCCCAGGAAAAGAGGGACACATTTGAAGGAGCTTTTTGAAATGGGACAGTCTGGTCTCCAAATGCAGTCTCCACAGGATGTGGCCCCTGAACAAGCTAACAAACAACATAAACAAATAAAAGATGCTAACTGCGCTAACCATTCTGAACAGATGCTAACTATCTAAGCATTCTGAAAAGATGCTAACTAGCTAACGGTTCTGACCCGTCTGCTAGTCTCTGGTTCTGGTCTCAGGCTCCTCCTCTGAGTCTGGGTCTGACTGAGGCTCAAACATGTGGCTGAGTCTCTCTGATGTTTCCTCCTCTCACCATCTTCATACTCTCTGCTCTTTCACCTGTCCACCTGGAGCCTGATCCACATTTCTCAATCAGGAAGTCAGAGGAGATGAGCTTCAGACCCAGTTTTACCTTTTTTTCAACCCAAGTTCAAACCAAGTTAAACAAACACTAATAATAGCAGAGGATTTTTACAGAGTTCATAATATGTCTTGAGAGGAAAGATTGTATGACTCCACCTGACCCTTTGCTCTCCCTCCGTCATCCCCACGGGGCAGGAGAGTGGGAACGAAGCCAAGGAATGCAGGACTGACGAAAAGTGGAAGACCACAGCTAAACCAGTGTGTACTCTGGATTCTGGTGGGAATAAGTTATGTTCTTATTTCATCTGTTTAAGGTAATGGCATGTGGATCGATCACTGAGCTGCTGCGAACTTGTGGGGCCTGTTAGACATTGAACAACTGTGGGAACACTGCTGCTGTGTCACTCCGGGGGAAACCTCCTGGTAGCAATTAGAAACCATCTGACTGTTGTGGGTGGACCCTGCCTCCACACACACACACACACACACACACACACACACACACACACACACACACACACACACACACACAGAATGAAACACTGTGTTTGTATTAGTCCACCCTGTCCTCTAAACATTACACTGATTTATAGTTTGTTCTTACAGCAGGTCCAGAGGATTGGACATTAACTTACAAGTACATTCTGTAGGAAACATGATACTGAAACATGATACTGTATATACAGTATTTTTTTTAATGTTTTATTTTGCAATGAAACTGTGGAAGCAACCTACGTATACACTGTTGCTCATAAAGTTGGAATAAAATATTTTTTACCTCTTTCCATGAAATGATTGTGACAGTGTGATTTATTCTTGACAGATAAAGTGTGTAAAAACTAGTCTCAAAACTCAACTCAAAACTTTTGTAGTCAGTCTCTTCCAAACATATCACAATGAAAATGAAACCACAATGAAACCACAATTAAACTGAAAACAAAATTATTCCAACTTTATGGGCAACAGTTTATACAGTATGTATATATAGTTGTGGTTTTAAGGAGCAAAAACCATCTCAGTGTAGTTTTACATCTCCTCTCTCAGGCTTCTCTCTGCAGCTCTAGTAACAACAGGTCGGTGAGCCAATCAGAAGAGAGGAGGCTCTGAGCCTCTCTTCTGATTGGCTGACTGTTTTCTGAGTGATCCAATAAAAATATAGCAGATTTCAGGTAAAAACACTCGGTGACTGCTTTGTTGTGACATCACAAAGTTGGACATTGAATTTTGGATTTTTATTTAGTTCCTGTTTTACTTTGAAATTATTTGCCTTGTGTGTCTTGTGTTTGTCTTACTTCCTGTCTTTGTTCCATTTCCCTCCTCAGGGATTGTCTGCCCCGCCCTAACGTGTTTCACCTGTGTTCTATCACCTTTACCTCCCTTGTGTTTTTAAGTCCCTGTCTTCCTCTCTGTCGTTGTCTTGTGAATTTTTGAATTTTTCCTTGTGTGTTATTTTGGTTTCCTCGTGTTCCCTGGTGCGTTGTGTTCCTCCTTGTTGAGTTTACACTTCTGTTCATGGACTTTGTTTTGCTTTGCCTCCTTGGATTTCTTTTACCTGTTCAGTTAGTGTTTTGTGTTGAGATTAAATAAATCAGTTTACTGTTAATCTGCTCTAGTTGTCTGCGTTTGGGTCCAGTGACCCTCATAACTGTGACACTGTTGTAAAACAGTTCTTGCCCCCTTTAAAATATATGAAAAGAATGAAAACACATGTTGGGGTGGGCAGGAAAACTGAGACTGTCAATTCAGCATCATCATCATCATTGCCAGGAAGAAGTTGTCACCTGTGATGTCATTCCAGTTTTATGACACAGTTTCAAGATTAGCCTGAGCTGAACTCTGGCACACTGAGACAGTGATTTTAGTCCATGTGTCTCCACCTTCAGCAGGACAGAGGTTCTCCAGCTGCAGTGGTGACAGATGTGGGTGTATGACTGGTATTTCTGCACACTCAAACACTCAGTCTTTCCATACTCCACTGGCCACCCTGCTGACAGCTGGTTGTTTACCACAGGAAGTTGCCCAACAGCAGTGGTTAACTGCAACAGCTTCCACCAGACGAGAGCTCGCGAGCTGTGATGTTTCATTTTGTTTCATGAACACAACTGAGGCTAAAAGCAGGGAACTTATATAAACTATAGTTTTCTGTGTACTGGTTTACGACATGAGAACAAACAGTTTACATCTGACGTCCACTGTCATTGGTTCACTTATAAGACCACCTTAACATCAACACCGGGCAAACAGGTCAGAGTCATGTGACACTGGAGCAGCGTGAAAAGAAGCCAGTCATCTTGACACCATATGGTTCTGTCAGTGGAGCTGTGGAGGGAGCAGAGAGATTTAATATAATAACACTTAACTCTGAGTGTCTGAGTTACATTGTGTCAAACATCTACAGATGAGCGCTAACGTTAGCTAGTTTCCAACTTTAGCCTTAAGTTACAGTTTAGCTAACGTTAGCTAGTTTCCAACTTTAGCCTTAAGTTACAGTTTAGCTAACGTTAGCTAGTTTCTAACTTTAGCCTTAAGTTACAGTTTAGCTAACGTTAGCTAGTTTCTAACTTTAGCCTTAAGTTACAGTTTAGCTAACGTTAGCTAGTTTCTAACTTTAGCCTTAAGTTACAGTTTAGCTAATGTTAGCTAGTTTCTAAATTTACTAATGTGAGCTAGCTGATAGCACACCCTTTTATTTCCAGTGTTAGTTTAGTTAGTTTTAGTTAGTTTTCCAGTTTTCTTTCACCCTGGAGAAAATGTTGACCCTCATTGTATTATTCACACTCTGGGCATGAATATGTTTGTTTGTTGCATTACCATGGACAGAGAAAAGATCCTAAATAACAGTTGTGGCTCTGCAGATGAAACCCAGACACAGCTGCTTCAGATTAGAGAGGAATCTGTTTCTCTGCCAACAGTAAATCTTCTCCTGCAGGCAAACAGTTTATTTTTTTGATGAGGAACGCTGAGGTCCAGGAAGTGTACAGCATCAACAACAAGACCAAATCACATCAGAGGCTCTATTCTGAACTGGTCATATTCTCTCCCTCCATCCCGTCCACTCAGGACTGTTCCATCATGCTGCACGGACAGTTTGCGTTTTCAGTTTCAGAGGAAACTGTCTTGGACCTGCAGCTTCACTTCTGAACAAAGCTCAGATACACTGGTGAGAGCAAGTGATGCCTCTTTAAGCTGAGTTTATCTTTGTGGACAAGGTGAAGATTATATGGTCCAGGTTTTACTTTGGTCAGATTTGTTGAAAAGCAAATGTGTGCAGCCGTTGCCACAGTTACCTGGTGCTTTGGATGGAGGAGAAAGTAAAGGTTGGTCCTGGGGGGGGGGGGGGCTCTTTGCAAAGAGAGAAGTTTAAATTGAGACTGTGTGAAACACATTTGTTGATTTGCAGTAGAAACTTTAGAACAGAGGTCAGTAAAAGGTGGACCACTGTCGCAATCCCCTCCGGACCTGGTCACATAACCAACAATGTTTCTATTTTAAAGCAGTTTTTTAAAAAAACTATATTTATATTTATATTTATATTTATATTTCAGACAGCTGTAGAGAGACTCACCACTGCCTACTGACTGTCCTGATGACAGAGCAGGAGAGAATCACTCATTTGTCATTATTCTGTAAGACTGAGATTAAAGCTGATGATTTGAAGAAAACTTCATGATCACATGTCAGCTTGTTGAAGAAGGAGAAAAACATGAACCAGAAATTAAGTGGAAATGAACGAAAATAAGACAGAACATATAGGTCCTGAGCACACAGGTGATAAACTGGTGCCAGATCTGCAAACTATAGTAAATAACAGTCAGTACCCAACGCAAGCTAACCACAAATGTCAGTGAAATTAATTATTAACTCACAACGTTGTGTTATCTACTGTAGATACCTGTTTTAAACCTTATTTGCATCCATTTTTATATGTAAAT